AGAAAATCTTTTGCTTTTAAGCAGGGAGGCATGAGAAGATGTTTCTTTTAAACCTAGATTTGATGCAGATTTTACCACTGATCGGTTCGCCCCATAAAAGGTGTAAAGATCTTCCCTAACAGATTGGCTAATGGCACCGTTATAGTTAGAAAGCTCAGCCTTGTCAATAGACTCGTTATCTACAGGAACCAATACAGCATTAGACTTCACCTTTTCCACCGATTCAGACAACTCAGAACCAAACTCAATTTCTTCTCCACTTTTTTCCCGTGTCAACTCAGTCATTTGTGTTGCAAAAATAAGAGGTAGTGCAGAGCCCGATTCACTGTGCACGGAAGGTAAAGGAGATACCCTTGCATCACCAACTTCAGATTCTTCAACAACCACAGTGTCACAAACATTAGCGGCAACAAAATTAGCACCAGAGGACTCCACTGCTTTTATCAAAAGAGAACTGCCATGCAATGACGCAGTCTCCTGAAATTGTACATGGGTCTCTTTTTCCTCAATCTCATGGCTATTTTCACTTGCCTTCTTCACAGATCCTTGGCTTTCTACTTCATGGGCCTCTCTATGAAGACCTCCAAAATGCAAAAACTGGCTTCCAGTAATGTGGTTCACAATGCTTCTTCCTAATTGAGAGAATGCAAAACTTGGAGAACCTAACACCTACATCATTGGCAAGATATTAGAATTTATTTTTCCACGAAAAGAAATTAAAACTTCGCTAAATCACAAAGTTACCCAAAAAAGTAAGTTTGACAAGTAGTAGAATAAATTAATTTCAACTGATTCCGTTTCTTGAATTCACCTAATTCATCAAACAATCCTCCCCGAACAAATTTTTCTATTCGCAATTTATTTCCTCCGAAAAAGGCAACTTGAGAGAGTTACATAAAAGGAAAATTAAATTAAATTAAAAATTAAACAAATACACTATTCCATATCTTCTAAACTCCTACAAATAGATGATGCTAAAAATTAAACTTATAATATATATATATATATATATATATATATATATATGCGCGCTCAACTGTAACTATCAATATTTATCAGAGAAAGATAGACAAGAAAGAGAGAGAAAATCATTTATCAAAAATTTATAGAAAAATGATAAGAATACATTTACTTCTCAAAAAATATTTTTTTTTAATTCTTTATTCCTTGTTTCTCTCTTCTCCTGTGCCTATCTTTCGTCTATGTTATAATCATTTCCACTAAAAAACACAAAGAGAAAGAGAGAGGCTCTGAATTGTTTAGTCTTACCTGAATAGAGCTAGAGGTAATCTTTTTGCTGTTCTTGATGTTGCTATTTATATATCGATAATAGTAAGCAAGAGAGAGAGCAGAGAAAGCAGAGACAGCAACAACGACCAGAACCGAATTGGCATCCAAAGACGCCTTAACTACGAACCTCTTATTTCCATTTCTTTGAACACGTAATTTCCTTCCACGGTATCGAAGTAGTAGGCCGGCACCCGAAGGAGGCCTCATCAAATTGTGGCCGAAGCAACCAATAAATTGACGGTGACCTCTTTGATTTATTGAATTGAGCGTGGAGATTTGAGTTAGGGCTAGGGTTTGAGATTTTGCAAGCTCCATTTCAAATTTTATCAGAGAGAGGATGGGAGGAGGAGAGGAAAGGGAGGTGGTTGTTTTCAAGAAACGATGATAATTTGAGTTGAATGGAGGTTCTGGTTAACTGGTATGTGGATATTGTTGCTTACGTGGCGTTATGGCACTGATTCTTTTTCAACGCCTTCCGATAATTTGTTACGAGTATTGGGCTGCAATCTTTTTACTTTGGGCCTACTATGGGTCTGAATTTCAAATCCTGGGTCTGAGAGTAGGTTTCCAGCTTTTGAAGGTAGGTAGCTTTAACATATTCGAGTGTGGCCAGGCGCGAGGTTGTTTTTATTTTTATATGTTTTTTAAAAATAAATTTTTAAAAAATATATTAAATTAATTTTTTTATTTCTTATTTCTTATTTCTTATTTCTTATATATTAATGCTAAAAATTTTAAAAATATTATTTTAATATGTTTTTAAATAAAAAAACACTTTAAATCAAAAATTTAGCTCTAAAAAAAAGGTATTTGAGTTTTCTACTAAAAAATATTTATAATAATAATAGTAGTAGTAGTAGTAATAAATGTAAAAATAGTTAAATATATTTATTATATTATGATAATTATATTTTTTTTGTATATTTATTTGGTAGGTTAATGACACTTTTTATTGAGATGTTTCAATAATAAATCGTTTTTTTGTATATTTATTTAGTAGATTAATGACGCTTTTTATTGAGATGTTTCAATAATAAATCTATAGTATCTATAATTTTATAATTATACTCTAGATTGAGTACAACATCCTCGATCATACACCTATTTCATGTTAGGTGTGGCCATGTGTTCGATGATTTTTATAAAGAAAAATCTATAAATGAAAGTTAAAGATTTGAGTAGTAGGGAGAAACATTGGCAAAACAAACATTCGAGCTTGGAAAGCCTGATATTATTTTATGGTGATAAAATTTACTGTAGTATGATTAAACACAATTTAATGTAAATTTCTAATGAGATAAAAAAAATTTTTGCTATTGGGTGGAACAAAAGAAAGCTTGAGAGTTTAAAAAGTTAATGTCGTGTGACATTTTATTTTATTTTCTCATTTTCTTTCATGATTGTATTTATATATATATATTTGTGTTATTGAGTATTTTAATTTATATTTTTTTATTGCTATTATTAATAATTTTATTTATTTCTTTATTTACATAGATAATCATAAAAGTTATTTAATTAAATATTTGTATAGACTTTTATGTTTATATTTTGATTTTTTTTATATAATATATATATATATTAAAATAAAAAAAACATGTTTAATATTTTTTAAAAAAAAAAACTATGACATGAGGCGGAGAGGAGTAGATATACATATAAGATTTGGAGATCCCACTCCTTTTAAGGCTTTCATTGTCTACCGTAGAGTGTGTTTGATATTTTATTATATGTTTAAAATGCATTTGAAAAAAAGTTAAATTTTTTTATTTTTTATTTAAAATTAATATTTTTTTATGTTTTAAAATTATTTTAATATATTAATGTTAAAAATAATTTAAAAAAAATAAAAAAAAATATTATTTTAATATATTTTAAAATAAAAAATATTTTAAAAAATAATCATTACTGTAATTTTAAACATACTATCACTTGAGCAGCACTTGAAATTGAAAACAACGAAAATTAAGAAGAACAAAGGCATATTCTTCGAGGGACTGCGAATGACATGGCAAACAGCATGTTAGAGCCACGAATGAATTAAAGTAGTTATTTCCTCAAAATCAGTGCCCTACTGTTATTGGGAAATCCCAACATCACACGTCATACATCATTTCCCTTACAATTTTTATAAGATTATCTAGATTTTACCGAGGATTGTTTCTGTTGATTTTTAAGATATTTTTGTTTAAATAATATTTTTTTATTTTAAAAAATTATTTTTGATATTAATACATTAAAATAATTTAAAAATACTAAAAATTTTAATTTAAAATAAATAAAAATTTTCAACTTTTTTAAAAATATTTTTAAAATATAAAAACAGACAAAATCTTAATTTTATTTAGAAATATGATAAAATAATTTAAAATAAAACAAAAAATTTTATTTATTTTTAAAATCATTTTAAAAATAAAAAACATGTTATTTATCTGACTGAAAAATCATAATCTCAATTACTAGACTAGACTATTGAATAAGAAAACTTTCTTTTCATTTGTCTTTACTAATGGACAAAAAGTTGGTCTCTTTTCATATGGTTATTAAGTATGTGTTTGTTTTTTAAAAAAAAAAAAATTTTAATTTTTTTATATTTAATTTTTTTATTATTAGAAAAATTGATTCATAAAAAATACTTTTCAATTAACGAAAAATATTTTTCAATTAAAGAAAAATTTGTTTCTAGAAAAGTATTTTCCTTTTATTTTGGAAAAAAAACACTTTCTGAAAATTATAAAAAATTTAGAAATATTATATTATTTGCTAATTATATCAAATTTAAACTTCAAACTTTTGATTGCTATATATATTTTTTTGAATATTTTTTTTTAATTTCATCTCTTAGAATTTAATTTTTATATTAACTTTAGTCCTTATTTTTATAATTATTATTTGTTTTTCCCTTGTTATTTTTTAATTGAAATTTTTTATTAATCAAATTTGGTCCTTATTATTTTGATTGTTACTTATTTTATTTGAAATAATTTATGAAATGATAATTATTATTATTTTAATTTTTTCATCATTTAATCTTTTATTTTTTAAATTTGATCTCTATTATTTTAATTATTATTTATTTTATTTGAGATAACTTATGAAATTATAATTTTTTTTAATTTCATTCTCATTCAACTTTTTAATTTGTAAAATTTATTTCTTATTATTTTAATAAACTTAAAAAAATAAAACATTAATAAGTTTTTTTCAGCTTATTTTCCATGACATAACTAAATAATAAAAAATATTTTTCAGTTTATTTTTCATTACATTACTAAATATTAAAAAATAATTTATTTTTTTAAAATTTATTTTAAAAAAAAATAATTTATTTTTTTAAAATTAATTTTTTTTAAAAAAATATATTCTAGTAAATAAACAGAATCTTAAAAGAAAAGGAATGAAGTCTCGTAGCTTTTCCATGTTAAAATGGTAAAAGCCGATTCATTCGAGCTAGATACACATAAATCTTGGTTTTTGGTGGATAAATCACATGAATTAGTAGAGGGCTTTTAATATGAATATATTAAAATAATTTAAAACACTAAAAAAAAGAGTTAAAAAACATAATTTTAACGTAGAAACAAACACCACCTGAGATTTGAGCTGTACTTGTTTTAGCCAATCTCCCAGCCCTCCTACTACTTCAAAATGCCCAATGAAAAACGTGGCTTCCTTAACAACTGTCATATCTAAATTCAAACCAAAGGATACATCCGTGGCGATTCGTGCCCAAAGCAGTTTTTCTCGTACAGTCGAGTTCTATGGGCTACATAACACACACACACACACACACCCCTACTGCAACTTCTGAGCAGCGTTTTTTAATCGTCATTCAATAACTAGGTAAGACAATAATAATCTTATGTGATGGATACTTCTAAGATTACTTCTCCTCTGTCTTGTGGGGTGTTGTGTTGATCTCTTTCTAAGAAATCCAGGGATACATATCACATACAACTGAATCTCTTGCCCAGGATGCCGCCTTCGCTGTATGTCTACTAAATAAATAAAATCTCGAGAATTATATCTAAACTTAGCAAAAGACTAACTTCATTTCTCTTACTTTATCCGGAAATTAATTAATATAGTGGCTGCTGTACTGGTTTTGTTTTGGCTTGTGGTACGTACTCCATTTATTTTGGGTCTCTGTGGGTTTTTGATCGAACCCATGTTGTATTTACTTCGGCATTAATTCAAGATTGATCAAGAAAAAGAGTTGGAGGGTGGGCATTACGTACTATTGTACGTTTTTTTGGGATAAATACTCCTATTGTACGTTGTTCAGGTGCTTGATTCTGGGTGATAGATCACCTTTTCTTCTGTTTATCTAGTGATTTTACTCATATTTTGCCTGCCTTGGATTTCAGATTGGATTGTGTGACAAAATCGACAGGAAGAATCGCTAATAACCATCTCGCGGTAAATGTTAAGCAAACAAGATGATTGGATCATTTCTGTCCAGAACCCTTCTGTATGAAACTAAACTGATTTAATTCAACATCCATTCTATTACAACTTGACTATCTTTTCGCTGTTAATTGGGGTGCTGATGTATGATAATTTGACAGTATGATTTTTGGTTATGCCTATCCGGCTTATGAGTGTTTTAAAGTAGCGGAGAACAACAGGACTGATATTGTGCAAGTCCTGTTTTGGTGCCGGTACTGGTAAGCATTTTCACGCTTCAATAGAAAAATTCTAGTGTTTAAGAAATTAATTTACAGTTCTGATATGGTTCTTTCAATTTTTTCTGTAGGATTTTAGTTGCAATGCTTACAGTTTGTGAGAGGGTAGGGGATCATCTAATCTTTTGGTATGGTGTCTTGAAACTTGGGTTGGTTTTTTTTTTTTTGTATTTAATTCATGCTGTTGTGTTATATATGTTTATGATTCTGTTTTTGGTTTCTGTCTTGGAAGGCTGCCTATGTACAGTGAAGCAAAGCTGGCATTCTTTATATATCTTTGGCATCCGAAAACGAAAGTATGTATTAATCACCCTAAATTTGTGAAGCAGCATCATCCGGCCGGTTATCCACCTTTGAATTAGTTATATCCTGATTAATATGTTTCTCTTTAACTGCTTCAGGGAACGGAATATGTTTATGATTGTTTTTTCCGGCCTTTCGTGGCAAAACACGAGACTGAGATCGATCGTAATTTGTTGGAGATGAGGGTGCAGGCTAAGGAGATTGCCCTTATTTATTGGCAGAAGGCAGCAGCTTATGGGCAGACGAAGTTTTTTGAAATTTTGCAGGGTGTTTCTTCTCAGTCAGCATCAATGCCTCGTTCTGATCAGGTAACCTCAACCAATTTTAATTCGGTTGATGACATTTTCAACTTCATAGTTTCTCTGTTCTGGTATGATATGACAGCAGAAGGATTGTTTCGTCTCGATCATTTTTCTAGTAATGTTTAAAACCACACTAACTGATTCCAAGATGTCAATTCTTTTCCAGCAGCAAGATGAGCTAAATGCCAAAAATGGAGAACCTAAGGCATCCAGTTCAATTAGCGAGGCTACAACAGAAAAACAGCCCAAAGAACCTGACCAGTTACATTCATCTAGTAGTGCTTCTTTGTCCCAGCAGTCACACGAGCCGGCAAGTGAATTGGAAGAACAGCCAGGTGTACCGATGCAATCCTTGGAGGATGGAGATATAAATTCCCCACGGCAAGAAACTGTTCCAAAGGAATCTGTCCAGCTAAAACATGGAAGATGGAAACTATTCCAGAGCCCGCAAAAACCGTCAAATTCCTAGTTGCTTAATTACCTTCACGTAAATACTGGATATCCTGTGCTGGTGCAAATTTTGCTAGCCTCATCTGTTCCCGTTGCGTAAATCTTAGACATAAACATTAACTTGTCATGGTAGATAGAACATGCTAGGAGAAATGTAGACCGAAGTTAGGTTTGAGGTGAGTGTGGCAGCATCAGGTATATTGCTGCGTGCTTGGAGGGAACTTGCAATTGCATGACTAATTAAAGGATATTAATTTAAGACCATGGCAACTTCTAATTTCAGTACAAGATAATATCAGCAAGATTGCATGATTTCTTGCGCATATTCCCGGAGCTTAGATTTTAAGTTCTTGCTCATGTCCACTGAATCTTTGGCAGGAGTTTTGGAATTGTTACATTGAGCGCAATGCCTACTTCAAAAGACCAAATATCTATAAACATTGTCCTGATATGGATCCTATGCATAAGATTCCTCCTTGTGCTCCTTGTCATAAGAAACTGTGCTGATGCAGTATCAGAGAGTAGGACAATTTTGGGTTCCATGCATAAGATTCCTTGTTATGCTACTTGTCATGGGAAATAAGACTGCTGATGCAGTATCAGAGAGAAGGACAATAATTAGGCGTTGATGTAGCAGCTGGTATCCTGACCGTGAGGGCATCTAGCTGTTTTATTTGGAAGAATAATCGCGATTTTTTAAAAATTATTTTTAAAATCATATTAAAACGATTGAAAGTATATAAAAAATAAATTAAAAAAAAAACACTGTACAGCTTCCAAACAATCCAAATAATTTCGGCAGCGCTTAACACTGTGTAAATCCATCATCTCATTCGAGCCATACAAAGGCTTGTTTCGCGTGGTGATTTAACTGTGTTTTTTTTAATTTTTTTGAAAATTTATTGCAGTTTAAAATATATTTTTTTAATATTTTTAAATTATTTTGATATACAGATATAAAAAATAAAATTTTAAAAATAAAAAAATATAATTTTAATGCTTAAAAAGACTTATCTCTACATGAATATCTTGAAAAAATACAGACTGGAGCAGATTAGGCTGCCAGGTCCACACGTCTTGGAAAGACGGGCCGACCAAAGAGCAGAAAAGGACACTGAGAGGTAATGACCTATAGATGTTTGTTGGGTGGGTCTGCTATCTGACATTTTATTTTATTTTGGAGGCTCCCTAACCGCCCCACGTGTCCTATCCACACATAGGATCGGTGGCTCCGAGCCACTCTCTTGGCTTAAAGGACTGTTTGGTTCTATCCTCGTATTCCTTCTTTTGTGGTGTTCAAGGCACTTCGTACATTTGTTTTTTGTTATAAATTCTAACTTTTTTTTTATTGGTGTATATATATATATAAAAAAGTCAATTGGCCAAAAAAATGATATGCGATTTGTCTCGAGTAAAATGATTGAAAATTGTGAATTAATTGCTAATGAGAGCAGCTTGATGTCGCATTTCACGTTGTCTTTTTCATTGAAAGATAAGAAATAAACTTTATATTAATATATAATTTTTGTAGTTTGGATGCTTACCGAAATCACAATTGAGAATTTATTTATTTATTATACAAGAAAATTAGTCTGATTAGAAAATATTGTTGTTGTTGGAAAAAAGGGATATAATAAGCCTCTCACATTATATAATAATTAAACAAATTAAAATGAATACAATTCGAATTTATTTTATAAAAATAATATATTGAATGTATAACCGACATGCTACTTTTAATAATAATAAAAAATTGAGGAACTAAAATACGTGTCTTGCCAAGGAAAGCAAACGTGCCGTATATCTGCCGAACCCTCAAATGCACAAAAGCCATTCTGATCCCGTTCTCTCGCGTATTTGAAGGCGAAGAACACAAGAAGCAGAGAGAGCAGCATAGGGAGACTCACCTAGAGCAAACCTTCACTTTAGCTCGTGTGATTCACGAGATACACACACACACAAAAACAAAGCCAAAGAATCTCACAAGAAAGCAAGAGAGAAAGGTTAAGAGAGTTAATGGAGAAGGGTAGCACAAGCAAAGAAGAGATAAGAACAAGTGGAGGAAATGGACAGGTTCTAGACGGTTCAGATATAATGGAGTTGGTTGGGAATGAAGAGGTGTTTAGCAGTTTTGTGGATCATAAGTTCCAAGAGCTGGATAGGGATAGAGATGGTAAGCTCTCTGTGAAAGAACTTGAACCTGCTGTTGCTGATATTGGTGCTGCCCTTGGCTTGCCTACGCAGGGTTCTTCTCCCGATTCGGATCACATCTACTCTGAGGTTATTTCATGCCCCCGGCTCTCTTTACATTTTTCTTAAGTTGGTTGAGATGGTAAACTTCATAGGTTTTGTTTTTTGGAGTTCTTTCTTTTTTATTAATGAAATTGAGGACAGTTAATCCAAGCTACACCCATCTAGTACATGAAGTACATGATTCAAAGAATCAATCTATATATAATTCTACAGTAATTATGCCAACCATTGAGAAGATATTTAATTTTAATATATATATATATATATGGTTGGCATAATTACTATATATATATATATATATGAAAGTTGTCTTCATGATATTTCCAACCGTTAAAAAAGCCTTGAGTTTTGTAGTTTGGAAAAACGAAAGTTGTCTTGATGATATTTCCAACCGTTAAAAAAGCCTTGAGTTTTGTAGTTTGGAAAAACATTGAGTTTTACAGCTGGGGAAAGGGTTGCCGTTCAACGGCTCGTGCATGCTCATACTTACGTACACGCAATTTAATTTCTAGTTGTTCCAATGGCTGAAATGAATCGATTCCGAAGCAAGATGATGGCCCTAGAGAATTTAGGTATTTTTATTGTGTATGAAAGTTGTAAATGTGCCCCGATATAATGGAGAGAAGACTTTCTATAAATACGTACATTTGCAAACTAAAAAATATAGCTTAATTAGTTAAATTTTAAATTTTTATTTTAAAAATTATTAATTTAAATGTTATAAATCTTGGGATTATTAAAATTTATATAATTATTAATTTTAAAATTTTAAAAAATTAATCAAAATATATATAAGTTGATTTGTAAATTTTATATATATATATATATATATATATATTTTGCCAGCTTGAAGCTAGCCGATGTAGGGGATGGACTTCGCCGCCCCTCGTGACATTGCTTTCGGGAGTTTAAATTAAGCTTGTGGCTCCAAAAAGTTCGTGGATGCACAGGGTGATTCATTCTTTTTCTTTGTTTATTTCAACGCCAATTCATTGTTTATTGCATTGATGTCCAACTTTCGAGTCTTAATTGCGATCGAAATCACTATGCTTGTCTTGTTGGGGGACATGATAAGAAGCAAATCGTCAAGATTTTCCATTTCTAGCTACCTCGTTAAACATCCAAACTATTTTTCAATTTTAGTCGGTGTTGTGGGTCTTTGCTTTTCATTCGGCCTTTGCTTTTCCAATTGACTTTTGTCATCCTTTTACTTTTATCATTACATCTGGAGAGGCATCTTGAGACGAATGTTGTGGAAACTACTTGAATATTTTCCTTTCTTTAATGATGTATAAGAAATCATGAATATATATATATAATGCTGTGGAAACTACATGAATATATTAATTAATATATGTTTATGTGTTTTTTAAATGATTTTAATATGTTAATATAAAAATCTAAAACATATATATTTAATGTATTGTTTTTTTATATAAAAAAAACACCATTAACATTAGTATGTTGAACACCTAATGTATTTTTATCCAATTTTGATGCGACCAAAGTCAGGTCTGGCTGTTTGGGCTTACCCATATTTAAAAAGGCAGTGTTTTTGTAGGGACAAGACTCACTCCTAACATGTTTGTAGGGACGAGTACCAGCAACTGCTCCATTGATGAAATCATGCAAATGTATGCTCTAGATCATATTTTAATTGGGTGGGCATTAAAATATTACCCCATGCCTAAAAGAACAGGTAGAACTGTCTAGCTAGGACCACCTTTGCACTTGTATATTGCGAATTTTCTAAGAAACCAAAAGGTCAGAGAAGTGACAGGTAGGGAACTCATAATAATGTTGTACTATAGTTAAATTGGTAGGACGAATTGCTGGGAGAAAGAGACGCATAGTGGGATTTATCAGGATAACTTAATAGTATGATCAACAGTGAATTATCCTTAAAGATTAATGAAACCTTTCTCATACGTATGTGCGTCAAATATCATGTTGTTATAGGTTCTAAATGAATTCACACATGGCAAGCAAGAGAAAGTGAGCAAGACTGAATTTAAAGAAGTTATATCAGATTTTCTTCTAGGCATGGCTGCTGGTTTGAAGCGAGACCCTATAGTCATCCTCCGTATGGATGGGGAGGACCTCTTAGAGTTCATTAAAGGACCGAGTTATGAAGCAGAAATGGTGTCCTTATTTTCCCAGTTGGAATCACCTGGTGGATCACTCAATCATCACATTGTCAAAGCTTTGGAACAGCTTACTGTTGATCAAGGAATGCCTCCATCTTCAGATTCTTGGGTATGGAATTTTTATCCTTGCAATTCAATGGTGTAACATTGAGTTAATATGGGGTTTCAGTGCAAATCGTGGACTTATTTTCTGGTGTAGGTAATGAGTAACATTGTGGAACCAGCTTTACAATCTTGTGCTGGTCAAGATCATGACGAGCCCCCTTCTCAAGAGACATTCTTGGTGGAGTTCAAGAAAGTGGCACAGTGTATAGCACAACGTCTGAAAGAGCAGCCTGTGATTGTTGCACACAGTGAAAACACCTTTGATGGAAGTGGAATTAAGAGACTTTTATCCAACAAATTTGAATTAGACAAGGTTTGGCTCTCATCACTACATAACCTCTATTTTCTCAATATAATTAATTAGAACATGTATATATTCTTGGGAACAATTATCATATTCTGCAATCCATTATTGGCTTGGCAGAATCTAAACACGGCAATAGAAAATGTGCCAAAAGATCGCAATGGGAAAATATCCAAGGAGTATTTGCGTGTGGCGCTAGATACGGTCGCTCCATCAGCTGACCTGCCTCCAGTTGGTGCAATTCATGAGGTAAGATAAAGCCAATCACAAACAATTCACAGTTGATCGATACTTAGGAGTAATGCTAATTTTACGAAGAAAAAAAAGGCTTATGAAATCATTTCCCGGAATTTTTGTATGAAGTTCGTGGCTAGTATACATTAATTAACCCATATCCAAGATTTATATATATCATTTTACTTAAGCTTAACTTACCCTAGTCTCAAATTGGATTAAATT